TTACCCATGGCGGGGCTGGCATGAGCTGCTTCCCTGAGAAGACATGAGAAGGAGGGGGGACCTTGTACCCTCTCCCACCCTGAAGTGTTTGGGCACCTGCGTGGGACGCACATGGGCAAGAGAATTAAGGCGCCAGGATGGGCACTGTGCCCTGGATACAGGCTTTACCCTCCTCCCCCAGGGGCCTGCCTAGGGCCAGTTTGGTAGTCCCCTTTTCTGGCCCCTTGGAGCCCACAGATGTTTCATCTTTTTCCCTTCTGAGAGCAAGAAGAGACATGGCATGCTCTCTGGGACCCTGGAATCCTAGGTACCCACATGTGTGCCAAAGCCTGCCCTACCTGGCAGGTGTCCCACAGCAACAAAAGGAGTAGTAGTCCCCTTTCTTTCCATCAGCCCTACCCCACCCTCATTCCCCCGACACCCTCTGGCTTGAACCGTGACTGAGAAGCGCCGGCATGCTTGGATGCCCAGCTATGTCCAGAGGTGGCCTGGGTCCGCCAGTTGCACGCCTGCCACCTCAGCCAGCCCCCACCCAGCTCACCAGTTTGAATGGAGTTGCCTTAAATTGGCAGGTGGTAGCGTGCTCACTGCCCTTGGAGCTGTGACCGGCTCCTGCCTGTCCACCCCTTCCCCAGGTGGCTTCTGCTTATCTTATCATCCTGGGGCTCCGATTAGCCAGGCCTGGTCAGGGTCCTGGGGACGGCACCCAGATATGCAGAGTCACCCTGACGCTGGTACCGGGCTGACCTCAGCTCCCGGAGGGTCGCACAGCCTCCCCATCCCTCCTTCCCAGCCCTTGTGGCTCGTGTCCACCTGATCCCAATACCAGCTTTCCCGAGCCCCTGCCACCCCAGAGGGCAGCCACGACAGGGAGAGGTATAGATGCCACCATCTGAGGTAGAGGAATGTGGACCAGGAGCAGGCTGTGATGCTGAGACACTTGCCTCGGGGGGCCGGGAGCCTGGGGGGCCAGGGCCCCTGAAGAAGGCTCCCCTCTGTATCCCCCAGGTGTCCTCAACACTGGACTGATCCTGAATGGCACAGGCCAAGGGGAGGCTAGCCTCACCTTTCTACCCAGGGCCCCTGCCCTGCCCACCTCAGGCCCCCACCCTCCACTCCTCCCCACGGTACTGTGAACATCCTGTGACTCAGCGCAGAGACGGATAATATATTTAATTCATGTTGTACAGAAAGGAGCGAGCGGTCTCATACAGAAAAGCTGATTTTGATTGATTGATGCCAAAGATGGAGAACCGAAGGCCCCTCTCCAGGCCTAATGAGTGTGGGTGGGGCGTGCTTGTGTGCATGTGTGTGTGTGTGTGTGT